GGCCCTTAATCGGTCACACTGATCACGGGCCGATCGGTGCCCACAACCGCGGTATAATGATGACCCCGTCTCGTTTTCTATTGGACCCAATGTTTTCGGACCGGTTCCTAAATTCCTAATGCGTTTCTACAATTTTCGTCGGCTACAACTTTCGGTATCGCGTTTTCGTGTGCGCGCCCGTATTTTCGGACCCGGACATTTTTTTTTTATACTTAAAAGTTCGTTTCTTCCTTGTAAAACTGACGGTTGTGTAACAGTGTCGTCTCCACCAACGATCGTTCGTCGAGCGCCGAGTTTTAATGGTAAACGCGACTTCACGGCGTCATCGGTGAGTACTCTACCTATACATATACATTATATTGAAAACCAAACGGTCGAAACTTTACCGTTGTAATTGCGATACTGCGATAGGTAGTTGCCTACTATACCTACCGCGGTTCTTATTTATATAATAGTATTATTTACGAACAGAACAGATTTCACAAAATAAAAATTAGTTCTATTTCTGTTCAAAAAAAGTATGCGTTAAAAATAACAATTTTTAAATATATTACTTATGTATAATAAGCATTATTTTAAATTGTATTAAATACAAATTAGTACACACAAACATGATTTCTTTTAAAAATAAAATATACAATTAGTATTATTTTATTGTATAAATATGTAGGTATTCATACTGCAATGTAATTTGTATTAGCAGTGCCGTAAACTATCAGTATGAAAAATCATATCTACCTACCAAAAAATGTACCTAATATTAGTTTACCAATTTGTGTTTTGGAAAATAGAAATAATTTTTTAAATTATTATTGTCTTATGAAAAAATATTTTTACTTATATATAAAATATACACATATATATTAAAGTCTTCAATTCAGATTATTGTAGGTAGATATAAGTATATCTGGGTATATAGGCAGTACTAACTGAGGCGATAATTGAAAAGTCTATTTTATGTCTTCAAAAAACTGTTCAAAAATATATTGGCTTTATGATTTATAAAACACCATCATTCTTCTTTTATCTGCCTCTCCAATGTGTTTTAGTGTTTTTATACAACATTATAGAAATTAAATTAAAATAAATTACTGATTAGATTTAGTGTGTATCTATTGTACCTTTCAATAATATGGTATTTCATTATTATTTATTATTACACTTAAAATAAAACGATATTTTTAGATATCACATAGCAACAATATTAATGCAGCAACAGTAGATACAATTTCTTAAGTAGGTAGATATATAATACCTACTGCTGCTACTGTATTTGCTTATACATTTTCACCCAAGAAACAATTTCTTTTAAGGATTAAGAAAAAAATTGTTTAATTTTTAATTTATGATTAATAATAATTAATCAATAAAACAAAATTTAATATCATTTAAAAATTATTTAAAATTCATTATTATTGACAACATATTGCATTTTTATACTATTATTAGATTAAACAAAATTACTGATAATTTTTGTCTTATTATATCAATGGTTGTTAGTTTATCAAGTATTACAGTTCAACAGTTTTTATGCTGTCAATTTTACTTTTGTTTGATTTATAATATTGTATTATAGTTTTAATAAAAGTGTAATGAAAATCATTTAACTATATTATACATTTTAGTTTATTATTTGTAAATATATGTATCTTTATTCTTAATACCTTTTAGATAACTAATAATTTTACACATTTTTATGGAATTCGACCATCAAAGGAAAAATATTATATTCTTAGTATATCTCTACAAAACAAAGTTTGGCAAGCCCCGACTATATTGAATAGTTGTTACATAAACTAGGTAGAACACATATTATATTTATTTTAAATTTTTAAGTAGGTATAGACCGCATATTGGGAATCAGGCTTAATATTAGTTTTAAATTTGTGTTTTTACTTTGTGTAAGCTTCCATTCGAAACTCAACAAATTAAGCAAATTCTGACTTATTTATAAAGGAAGATGATTAATAAAAAAATATACATTGGTACATTTCGTTACGTTTCTATTCATTTTAAAACAAGATTTCTTTACCTAATTTCTAAATTGCTATAACTATACATTGTCTTATATTTTTTTTTTTTTTTCAAAGCATTATAATTATAGTATTTTTGAAAAAAATATTCATACATATATTTAAAATTATCTACTTTGTATAGTGTTATTAAATTTGTATTATAACAGAATCTGTAAACATGAATAGTATTTATTATAAAAATATCAAATAAATACAAATAGGTATTATAATAATTATTAATTAAGCGAATTTTATAATTGCTTATTTAATTTTATAAATTTATTTATCTTAACTAATTAATTATTAGTAAAGACCGGATTTAATTGCATTTAAAGCATATTAAAATTATATAATTCCACCAAAAATATGTAAAAATTTCAAAATGAATTGCACTATAAAAATACAAATTTATATAAAAAAAATTAGATAAATGTTACTTTTTTTTTTTTTTTATTAAAATTGATAATTAGATACATTTCTAAATTATTTTCATTAAAATTAAATTTTCTATTACTTAAAATATATTTGTACAAAGAAAAACTATGTTCTACGTCTACACTAATTATTGGTGCGTATTTAAAACAGTTTAATAAAGTAGGCGTTACATCTAAATTAACATTTGCTTTACCTGATATGCCTTCATAGTAAGACTTTAAAGTATTATACTCTTTATTTTGTTCATTTTTTTAAATTTTTTTCCAATTTGGACCAGGAATATTTATTAAATTATCTTTAATTTTTCAAAGGTTCGAGTGGTAAAGGTATACCCGGCATTTCTTTTCTGTATTTATTTATTATTGATAGTGCTTATAGGATAGCTTTTTTTCCTGAAATAAACAAAAAGAGTTATATATGTATTTAAATTTTAAATAGGTACTTAATATATTACCATCGTTAATCAATTTATTAATGTTGAGATACAATTCTCAAATTTTCCCTAGAACTCTATTAACTGTGTGCGTTTAGGGAATAAAAATTATTTATACAAACCTCTTTGATCGATTGTTTCGTCAACAATTATGTAAACGTAATTTTTCCAATATCAATAATTATTTGGTTGATAACTTTTTTTATTATAAATATTTGGTATGCAATTTTTTCTTAAAGTGCTTTCGTCCGGAATTGATTTGACAGAACGTTATTCCAAAAATGATTGTAACACATGATTGCCCAGCTTATGCAAAGGAATATTTGCAGCGATAAATGCATTAAATAAATCTTCAAAAAATACATCTTTACCATTCGAATTTTGAGCAGTAATCGAAAGCTGTATTTTATTTTCTTTATTCCTTTGTAATGCATTTATGTGTTGAACTAAAAAAAATATACGGGCTACTTTTGAAATAATATGTAGTGTATGTGTCGGTAGACAGAGAATTTGTTACATACGAGACAATACATGACCGTTCCATCTGATGAAAATACATATTTATTTTCATTGTAAGAAGCAATCCAATTCGAAATTTTTCTTTTAAAAGTCGATTTTATTCTAGGCATTACGTTCACCGTGCGGTCAAACTGATCGAAGCAATAGATACTAAGGTACCAACGGGTAGACGCACACGGATCACTTTACTACTACGTTGAATTTAATTATCACCATATATTTATAGACGCTTATCGCTCGCTGGGCTCTCCAATCTTCTAGAAAATTCCAGACGAACGATAAACGCCTATGGTTTAAAAACGTGGAAAAATTGCAAAATATTGCATTATAAAATTAAATAGGCTCAATATTTTTAATATTTATTTAATCAGATCTGCTTTATATTCATTGCAAAACAAGTTGCAATATCAATTAAATCCGATTTTTAATTACGAATAATCGTAAACTATCAACCATTTACAATTGGTTTTTTTTTTTTAATATATATCTTAACAATACATAACATAGGTATGTACTATGTATAATAATTTAATCTGTATACCTACATAATCCTTTTACCAATAAACCAATGTAAGTAACATCAACAATTTTGTAAGGCTTTATTATAATTACTTTATAGGTATCGGAAATATATACTTAGGTATAATTGCCATACATGTTGTAAATGTACAATTCAAGTAACAAAGTAGCATAATATACTCGTATAT